AATGAATTGTCTGGTAGAGGTGTTGGTGATAGGCGATACCGTTTCAAGCTAAAAGAGAGACTAAAAGAAAAGTATGGAAATAAGCTTATTTTTGTTACTATAAAAAGTGACAAACCCCAACTTGTGATAAACGCAGATTCTATTAACACCAATACATCCATCAAGGAACTTTTCATTTCAGATTCAGAATGCATTAGGCGAGCGGCAATAGTATTAAGGGAGCACATTATTGAATTTGTTAGCTCCGCTCCTTCATTGGAATGGCCAGTTACAGTCCAATCGTTAATGAATGATGAACGCAATCCACCTGATGAAGTGATATCTTTTTTCCGGCATGCCTTAAAGTTGTCCAAACACGCAGATGATGAAATTGTGAGCCGCCTCTCCAATTCATTTGCTCAAGACTTAATACATGGTGTTACTCGTGGAAAGTTTCTAACATATAAACATGCATTATTGGGGGTTGCACTTCACGATATGACTGGGCAAAAAAAGCCTATCCAGATCATTCATCGACTTGGTAATGGGTGCAGCTATGATCAGGTATGTGACATTGAAACCGGGTTGGCAGAGCTTACCCAGCATTTTCAATCTAAAGGACAGATATTACCATTGGTCCCTTTAACACAAACCTCGACTGTCTTAACAGTGTTTTGGTTCGATAATTTTGACCACAATATTGAAACGCAAACTGGGCACGGTACGATCCATAATACACATGGCATTGCCTACCAAGAAGCAGCTGATGGTGAAACCATTTACAGAGACGAGAGAGTCACTTTTCCAAAATCAAAGAAACTCGCATTGGACAGAGATGTGGAGAATGCTGGTCACCTACAATTCAATCCGAAAAAGGAACCACAGTTGATAGACCAAAGATCACCACAATCATCATTGACATCAGAAAGCCAACAAGCTAAACAAAAACTTGTTATCTGGAAGTTTTCAAGGTTTACGAATGCTAGAGATCAAATAATCCCAAACTTTTCTGGATGGCTCTCACTGGTGGGTACTGACCATTCTAAAGTATATGCAGAAACAACAATCACGTATCTTCCTCCTATCCACAAGCCAATCACCGATTACAATACAATCGTTGAATTCTTTCGTGAAGCTAAAAAGTTGGCAGGTCATCATTGACATCAGTAAGCCAACAAGCTAAACAAAAACTTGTTATCTGGAAGTTTTCAAGGTTTACGAATGCTAGAGATCAAATAATCCCAAACTTTTCTGGATGGCTCTCACTGGTGGGTACTGACCATTCTAAAGTATATGCAGAAACAACAATCACGTATCTTCCTCCTATCCACAAGCCAATCACCGATTACAATACAATCGTTGAATTCTTTCGTGAAGCTAAAAAGTTGGCAGATAACTCCAATATGCCTTACGTAAATATAACACTTGATGTTGGAGCTGCAATGAAAGCATACCATGTTTTATGGAATTGCCCCCAAGAATTCCATAATGTCATTGTACATCTTGGAGACTTCCATCTTTTCCAAGAGAATTTTGGAGTAATTGGACATTACTTAGCAGGATCCGGGTTCGAAGACTTAGTTTTCCAAGCAGGTATTTGTGCATCGGGTAGTATGAATTCGATCATGAAAGGGAAGCATTACAACAGGGCATGGATTGTTCATGAGCATGTTGCTGACGCCCTTGAAAGGCTTCTCATCCAAAGATTCCTTGATGAAAACGAATTCATTGAGATGATGCCTGATCTGTTTACAACAACTCATGCTTTCGTAGATTTTAACTGGTTTGAAAACAATGAGTCATTTGGTGCGATCTGCAAATGCTATGCGGATTTCCGAAACACTATTCGTAATGGAGATCTTGGCAAAACCCCGCAATATTGGATTAGATATTTGGATCTAATGGACAATCAACACATTTTGCACCTGTCTGTTAAGGAAAACAATTTTGAAGATCGCCTAGCATGCTGGAAGGAAAGTGTGAGTTACTGCTTTGCATTCAACAAACAAAACTACGCACGATATATGGTGCATATTATGTAAACATGCTCGAGAATATCGAGGCTGCTTATCCTGGAGCAAAAGTGCTCATTGAAAAGAAAGGCTTGTCAGCAAACAGAGTTAACAAAGGATCATCCAGAGTTGCATTGGACCAGACTGGAGAGCAGACATATAACAGAAGTGCTAAAATGCCCGGCGGAATAAAACAATTCTCTTCAAACAAGTCAGCATATGAAAGATGGGTGTTGAATCGACCGCATGTCGCAAAATTCAAGGATGCCCTGTTAGAACTTACAGGATTGATGTCCTCAAACAGTGAGAAAAAGGCTTGTAGGCCCTCTCAGATTATCAGATCTGAGAAAAAGGTGAAGTCCGTTCTCAAAATACTGCAAGACGAATTCTTTGATCCGTTTAACAAAAACCTCGATACAGGATTTCTCTTCAATCTCTCTTCAGGAGCCCCAGTTTCTTCCGAAATTGCAGCAAGCATTTTAGAAACAAAGAAATCAGGGGAACAAAAATATCAGGAATTTGTAGAATACAGATTAAAAACCTCTACAACCCCGTTCTTCTCACCATTGAAGCGAGAAAAAAGAAAATCATTCTTGGATTCTTTAAAGAAGAAGAAGGTATTGGCTAAGAGTAGAATTGTTGAATTAAAATTTGAGAGAGATATTTTAGGAAAGCTGCTTGTTAACGCAAACCGTCAAGGTTCAAGTATTGACTTCAACAAGGCATTAACATACTGTCTTACACTGGTGCCTTTGAGTTTGGCTAATGCTGATGGGACGAGAAGAACTACAGTAAAGAGCAAGCTCTTGAAAGTAGTAGAGGAATACACTCCAATTGTCGATTACTCCGGATTACCAGCATCAGCTTCAGAGGTTTCTGCATACATAGTCGATCTGATGGCCACTATTCGATTACTCACGAGCATACCTGACACATTTGAGGAGCTGGGGTTAAGGCTGTTGAATCAATTGCCTAAGAAGTACAGTCGCGTAGATGTGATTGTTGATGCATACGAAACAAGCTCTATTAAAAGTGCTGAACGGAACGACCGTGGGACAAATGCTCCTTTTTTCATAAATTCGGTAAACACTAAAATACCAAGGAATTTTTCAAGCTTCTTGATGAATGGGTCAAACAAAGATCGTATGACTGATCTCATACTGGATGTATGGAAGGAACATAAGGACATTATTCCTAAAGGGAATTGCATTTATTTTTCAAAGAAAAATGAATGTTTTAAGTTGTCCAACGAGAACGTATGCCGTGTGGATGAGCTGGAATCTGATCAGGAAGAAGCAGACACGAGAATTGCGTTGCACATTAAGCATGCAATTGCAATCAACCCAGGAACAATTATCGTACGATCCCCTTCAGGTGATACTGATATAATTGTTATTCTATTGGCACTGTCTCTTATACACATCTAGATGTGTATAAGAGACAGGGGCAGTTCTTACTAAAATGGCCGAGATGTCTATAAAAGATGCTGCTAAGTTACGAAATGATGACGCAATGCTTTTACAAATACACGACAAAGATCTTATTGCTGGAGAATTTATGAAAAATGAGAGATGCTATAGAAACTACACAATAGGCCTACAAAGACAAACACCTGCAGTGCCAATTAGTTCTAATATTAAGGAAGATTATTTTAATGCCGTTTGTGACTATGTGGATCACCATGTGATCCACAATAACCAGGTAGTTTCACTTGAAACATTAAATGAATTGTCTGGTAGAGGTGTTGGTGATAGGCCATACCGTTTCAATCTAAAAGAGAGACTAAAAGAAAAGTATGGAAATAAGCTTATTTTTGTTACTATAAAAAGTGACAAACCCCAACTTGTGATAAACGCAGATTCTATTAACACCAATACATCCATCAAGGAATTTTTCATTTCAGATTCAGAATGCATTAGGCGAGCGGCAATAGTATTAAGGGAGCACATTATTGAATTTGTTAGCTCCGCTCCTTCATTGGAATGGCCAGTTACAGTCCAATCGCTGTCTCTTATACACATCTAGATGTGTATAAGAGACAGGTACAGTATCATTATTATTTAGGTGACATATCAAACACTATTAAAACTGTTGATAAAACAACATTATATAAACCCATTACAAACTCACATTGTTTGATATCTGCAAAATGTCAACCAAGGCTAAAGTGAAAATTACACTTACCTGTCCAAACAATTTCTTACAGGTGACAGAACGAGGAGCAATACGACGAAACCGCAATGATGATGTCGATAACAAAATTAAATGTGTAATTCATTATGACAACATAGATGATAATTATGTTTCTCCAATGACAGAAATTGCTTATAGAGCAATTACTGAAAATAAGATTATTCGTAAAGATCTTGGCGGAGATCACTATCATATTGAGCAATGTTTATCTGTGCCTGAACCAAATTATGATTCACTTAAGCATGGCTTCCACAGAACATGCTACCAGAAGTTCACAAAAGCAAGAAGCATTCAGCGAAATAAAACACCACCCGAAAATGATAACAAACGCTCCCATCGATCCGTTGACGCATCCACGTCTGGACCGTTATTCCCAAATGAATGTGGTATTTGTAATAACTTTGTTATCAAGGTTGGAGGAAAAAAACAATTCCCAAGGGCAGTTCTTACTAAAATGGCCGAGATGTCTATAAAAGATGCTGCTAAGTTACGAAATGATGACGCAATGCTTTTAAAAATACACGACAAAGATCTTATTGCTGGAGAATTTATGAAAAATGAGAGATGCTATAGAAACTACACAATAGGCCTACAAAGACAAACACCTGCAGTGCCAATTAGTTCTAATATTAAGGAAGATTATTTTAATGCCGTTTGTGACTATGTGGATCACCATGTGATCCACAATAACCAGGTAGTTTCACTTGAAACATTAAATGAATTGTCTGGTAGAGGTGTTGGTGATAGGCCATACCGTTTCAATCTAAAAGAGAGACTAAAAGAAAAGTATGGAAATGAACTAAAATTATTCACAAATTAGATCCTTGCAACGTCATGCAGTGTCACAACAATGGAATTTGCCAAACAGAAAATGGTGTGCCAGTTTGTAAGTGTGAAGGCGTTTTTACTGGGGAATTATGTCAAGAGGGTAAGAGACATTTTACTTTCTCACACTTTGCTCAAAACATATAAAAATGATTTATTTAAACACTATAACTTAACCGGCTTCTGACAACATGTAGATAAATACAGAGCGATGTTTATTGAAAATGAACCACTGGGCTAGTAAACCTTACAGGTTCCTACATTTTTGTTGATAGTCTAATTAAATCATTTTGACTACATTATTTAAATATGCATATTTGTATCTCTCAAGTTCACGTATGTGATGATAACATTATTTGTGACAAAGGCGGTGTTTGTCTTAATAACGGAAGGACAGGAATCTGCTACTACAACAACCAAAACAATGAATTTACAACAAACACATCAGGTATAAATTATATAGCCTCTGCTGCTAGATTTGTTTTGTTTCAAACGTTGAAAAAATGTTAATGTTTCTATAGAGAGGTAAACTATCGATATCATATTATATGCTTAATTTTCTCAATTTGGTATTGTAAATGTGCAATAGGCTTTTTTTTTGTACAAGATACGATACCAAATCTAACAACACTTTAATTAAATTTTTCATTTATTAATTTTTTGTTCATTTTCTATCTACAGTCGTAGTTGTTCTCATAGTTATGCTTGTGTTAAGCGTTGTCATGAATATTGTTGGAATCGCTTATTTTGTATATAAAAGGTAACTAAACGTGCTGTGAATATTATGATAGAGTAATACTCATCTTTTTTAATTAATGGAAGCAAGGCTCTGGTAACTCTAATGAAATGAAATTGGTTATGGTAATAATTTATAGTAACAACTCACATCGTCGATTTACTTTATATTGTATAGATATAGTCAACGAACGAATACCAAAGGAAGTGATTTAATAAATATGGAAGTTAGGAAAGACGGTCGAGAATATGACGAAGTTATTGTGAATACAATTAACACAGGAGCTGGAGCAGATTTACAAAATCAGAATCGAACACAAATAACCCAATCGCTACGTCTAAAAAAGACTGAAACAAAGGCCCAAACCGAGAAAGATTCTTACGAAATACCACATACATATATGTCAATAGATGACTTAAAACAGTAATTACTTTACCGCAAACACGTGGTACGGTAACAACTAATTTCTGTATATATGAATGTATTATTATAGTCGATATGCTTTTTTTAGCTTAGTATGATATGCGAATCATTACATACAAGCCTAGGCCTTTATTTTACCTACTCATCGAAGGACAAACTGCTTTTAAAACTTCATTGAGTTTTAAAATTTGTTTATTCAATATATAACTATCCTGTAAATGTAAAGATTTATTTCAACTTTTATAAATAAAAATCATTAATTCAGACAAGTGTTTTAAAAATGCAAGGTGTGTTTCATCACCACACAATCTGTTTACACCATAAACTGAATTTCTAACAATCTTATGCTTTTATCCTGTTTATTGTAGATTTTGCTTCTTGTTAAAACATTTCTTTTATGTTATATTTTTTTACGTCACTGTCTACTTGTTATTAATAACGATAAAATAATAACGACGATGATAATGATTATAATAATGATACTGATGATGATAATATTACGATGAAAGAATAATCGTAATGACGATGATGATAACATACTTCTACTGATAATATAATTCAAGATTCAAGATTCAAGATTCTTTATTTGTGTCCTTTTGGAAAATCAGTTGGTACATCACATCGCAAAAAAAAAATGCAGTAGTCAGTATAAATAATAAATAATAATAATAATAATAATAATAAAGTAAGAACTTATATAGCGCCATTTAAAAAACCGAAGTAATTATCAGTGGCGCTTCATGTTATTGTTGGAATAAGTGCGTTTTGAGTGATTTTTTAAATAAAGGAATTGATGCTGATTTTTTAATGTGAAGTGGTAGTGCGTTCCAGAGTGTGGCTGCAGCAAATGAAAATGAAAATAGCTAGTAGTGGAGAAAATTAATTATAATTAGGCATAAAACTTATTTGATATTTTGATTAAGCATTCTACTGGAAAGTGGTACGAATGAATTAAGATATCTATTTGTTCTACAGACTTGTGATTTTAATCTTTCACCCGAGGGTAGCCAAGTAAAAGATGCATTTAGTGGATGGGAACTATCTATTAAAATACTCTTTACTTTATCAACAATTTCAATCTCACAGATATCATCTAGTTGTCTATTTTGTTGTAGAATTTTTCCCGCCTGATTTATGATACGTTGTAGTCTGTTATAATCGTGTTTCCTTAAATTACCAAACCATACATAACTTCCAAACAAAAGAGCACTTTCAATAAAAGAAGAATAAAAAAGGCTCATTATACATGTATCAACATTGAATGACAGCAATTTCCTTAAGAAATGGAGTCACGTCATACCCTTCTTAACAATTTTATCACACTGCTCCCCCCCCCAGTTTAACGCATCAATTAACTAATCAATCTCTAAACCTAGGTATTTATGATGAGTAACAGTCTCAATGTCAACATTATCAACAACAAGTGATACAACATTATTTTCTCCTTTCCCATAGTCAATTATAAGTTCTTTTGTTTTTTGTCCATTCAGTTTTAAACAGTTTTGTTTACACCACAATGAGAAGTTCGCGTCAGTATTCACATAGTTAGAAACAGAGTTTGATTTCATTAGACCTATGATAACCGTGTCATCTGCGTATTTCAATATCTTAACATCTTCATTTTTGGATCTGCAGTCATCAGTATAACTAATGAATCAGGGGCGGATCCAGAAATGTCCAAAAGGGGGGGCCGGAAGGGGGCCGAAAG